GTGGGAATATTTGTATCTCTCGAATGACCAAAGATGTTGAAAATTTTTTCATGTATTTATTTGCTGTTTTTGTTTCTTCACCTGAGAAGTGCCTATTCATTTCAGATGCCCATTTTTGGACTGGGTCTTTAAGTTTGAGGGGGTCTGACTTAAATTTGAGTGCTTATATATTCTAGATATTAGTCCTATGCCTAAGGAATAGATGCCAAAATTTCTTTCCCATGCTGTGGGTTGTCTCTTCACTCTGCTAGTGGTTTCTTTTGCTGTGTAAAAGCTTTGTAATAAGATGAGATCCCAGTTGTTGATTCTTTGGTAGTTGAAGTTGTAGTTTTGTTCATAATATCTTTGCTTACACCAGTGTCTTCAAGAGTTCTACTTATTCTGTGTTCCAGCAGATATTTTTCTGTTTTATTATTTAGATCTTTAGGGCCAGCCAAATAGCTCAGCAAATCAAAGTGCCTGCAAACAAGTGCAAGGGCCAGAGGTTTGATCCTGGGGCCTGCCATGCCAGCCACCCCACCCTCCCCCACCCTGCAGAGTGCGCTGAGATGGCAATTGAGATGGTGTGGTGGCACGCACCTGTAATCCCAGCTCTTGGGAGGCTGTAAACAGAAGAATCACTATAAGTCCTATCTAGTAGTGAGACTCTGAGCACCCTATAGACCCTTCCCTAAAAATATAGAAAAAAACCCCAACTTAGATCTGATCCATTTTTATTTTGGTTTAGAATTTTGATCCGAATTGCTTTAAATCTATATAACAATGTTGGGAGTATGGCCATTTTTGCTATATTGATTCTGCCTATCCAAGAACAAGGGATATTGTTCCATTTTCTGATAGCTTCTTTGATCTTTATCAGAGACCTTCAATATGAAGGTCTTTTATTTTGTTCATTAGATTTATTCCTAGGCCTTTCATTTTTTTGGATACTATTGCAAAAGATATAGTTTACTTAATTAAGAGCTTTAAGTTAGTTTTAGTAACACTGTTAAATGCTTTTGGGGGAAAAGAATAATTCTTTATTATTGCTCAAGAAAGATACTACTAAATGCATAAGAATAAAATAGAATTGGGCTGGAGAGATAGCTCAGCAGTCTAAGCACCAGCCTGGCAAGCGCAAGGACCTGGGTTCAACGCCAGGTACCACATGCCATGCCAACCCAAAGCCTGCCAGCCCAAAACTGGGCATGGTGGTGCACTCCTGTAATTCTAGTGCTGAGGAGGCTGAGACAGGAGGATCACTAAGAGTCTGAGCTGCATAGCAAGACCCTGGACCAAATAAATAAATAATGATTTTTTTTTAAAAAAAGGAATAAAATAGAACTTGTAGTGCAGCAGAGTTTTATCATTACAATTTTGATAATTTCCTTTTTTAAAAGTGTTATTGAAGCACAATATACATGCCAAAAAATTCATCTGTTTTTATTTACTGAATATATGAATGTACAGACTTGTACAATCAACTTCAATATAGCTTTAGAACATTTCTACCACCCCAAAGGCAATACTGCATAAACAGGTAGTTATTCTTACCCCAGCCTGTGGTAAATACTCATTTAATTTCTTTCTATACATTTCACTTTTATGGACATTTCATATCAATGGAATCATTTGATAAAATAAGTCTTTTGTGTCTGGAACCTTTGACACCATAATTTTCACACATCTTTGTAGATTTATCAATACTTGTTTACTTCTATTGCTGTGTAGTGTTCCATACAAATATATCACATTTCATCTGTTTACCAGTTGATGGACATACAGGATATTTGTATTTCTTAGCTCTTCTGAATGATGTTGTTAAATATTTGCATTCAAGTCTTTGGACATGTTTTCTTTTCTTTGCATGAAATACATAGAAATGAGATTGCTGGTGATATGGTAAATTTATATTTAACATTTTTAAAAACTACCAAACCATTTTCCAGTTAACTGCCAATTTATACCTCCATAGTAGTGTGTGAGGGTACTAATTTCTTTGCATCATTCTCAACACTTATTTTTGTCTGTCTTTTACAGTATAGCCATTCTAGTTGTTGTAAAGTAGTATTTTATGTGGTTT